AGGGAAAGGAGTAATTTTTCAGATTTAGGTGTGAAGCAAGTTCATTAGCTGATACTCTTAAAGCAATTTCAAAGTATTTGCTTAGATGCAGGCAAGCAGATTGAGAAGCAAAAGCACACATTTCCATTTCTCCAAGCTGAACTGTTTGGAACAATGACTCCCAAAGAGGAATTTCATTTTCTGAGTGTACCATTTACAGTAATTAAGACCAAATACATATTTTGATCTGATTGCACAAAGAATGATCAGTCCTACCAAGGAGTACAGTAAAACTTGGAAGAACTTTTAGGTAGCAAGGGATATCCCTGTCACACAAGAATCCCTACTAGAAATACACTTCGAATTCCTCTTTCTATTCAGAATTTGAGTCTTCAGACATCTTTGGAACAGAGTCTCACCAATCACAATAGTAATGGGGCAAGGGGCTAAGAAAGTGCCAAGCAGACACAATACAGTGCAGAATTAACGGTAGAGTAACCTTTCCTAATGAATCTACCTCAGCTAACAGCATTTTGTGGTGAAAATGAAATAATCAAAAGGTTAAAATATTGGATGAATAAAATGGAAAATAATAAACCCGAGAAATGCCTTTAAAATGGGCACAGCAATTTTGAGCGGTGATAAGCACATAACTCTTTTGAAGCTAACAGAATACAGGATGACTACTTGGAAAATCTGCACTGTGCCATAATTACAGTGCATCTTGGAACAAAGGCAGTGCCATTGACCTCCCTTAAAAGTAACACTGACTTCCTCTGCAAATAGTATCTCAATCCCCTTCCACAGGAAGCCACTTCCATTTAGAGTGACAACTCACATCACAAACACAGCTGGAAGTTCCTTGGCCCATCCAGCTCCCAAGGAGTAGAAAGGTGTGGACACTGAGCTGTCTGCTCTCTTCTCATGTCAGTACCTTTGGAGAAGGGTTATGTGGGACACAGTAAGATGTGTACTGCCCTTACCACACTGCGCACAAACAGGGAATGTCAGCATCCAGCAATGACACCGATACACTCCGAACGCCCATGAGAGCTTTTAGCAGGTTGGGCTACAGGAACATTAAAATTTACTAAGCTATTTAAGTCCTGTGGAGACAGTGACAAATTGTTTGTGTCAATCCTGAAGAACTGACCAGATGCTGTAGAAGGGTTTTTGTTAAAAGGGATCATTCACCAAATACTAGAATGGAGAAAAACAGGGATGTAATGTGAACTTGGAATGACCTCTCCTAGATTATGTGGCCAAAAAAAAATGATTTACAGTTCTGATTTACACAGGAAAACTCTAAATCTTTGACTAAACATTTGCATGTCATACAGACATGTCTATAGTTATTAAGACTTAGGTTATATGAGCCCAGAAATAACATAGGTATCTTCTAATTCCATCTTTCCTTACTGTTTTAGACCATTAGAGGGAAAGGTGCCATATGCTCAGTAATTACTTGCCCCAATGTGCTTAACAAAATAAACAAAAATTAACAGGTATTTTAAGTTAAATTCATTTTACTTTTGCCCCTAAATCTCCGAAGGGCAATCAGAAAACCTGGCATGCATTTTAACGAGCATTTAAAGTTCTGCTTATCTGATACATCTGCAGGTTCATCTTCCATCACACCTGCTATACCTCCTTCTCCAGTCTTACTTTCAGTAAGAACAAGGGATGCCAGACGTACCATTTATTCCTACACAACTACCATACCAGCAAAAAAAAAGGTCCAAGAAACCACTTTTTTCCAAGTGCAAACATCAGTGCTTACAGTTTTTCATAATTAGAGTTAAATAAACTGTTCCATTGAGAAGTTTGATACGGTTGCCATGTTAGAGCTTGACAGCATTTTTCCAAAGCTGCATTCTGTCCATCACTGTCATATTCTTGCACTTCAGCAGCACAGTCCTTAAGAGTTGCTGTAGGGAGATAGTGACAATTTGGTTACTACTTCTGTGACTAGCCAAAAATCCTGCATAAACATTTTAATAAATATATTTACATAGATATACATACATATAAAGCACAAATATATATATTTAAATCTGCTTGTCCTTTGCAGTTATTCCAGAAGATTGTGTTATATTCCCTTGCCCTAGAAAATAAATTTTCCAGCTTTCCTGATTTGTAAAATATTACACAAGTAGCAGTTCCTATTTTTATTCTTTCCAAAAGGATGGACAGTTTCCTTTGGGAGGGAAGGAAAGCTAAGCATTTTACTGTAAATCTGCAACACTGCAAGAAGCAATTAAGCAAAATAATTACGTATGTTTTCTATTCTCTCTACTACAGGTTTAAACTGAATATACTCCGACTCACTGCAACAGGTACTTCATCTGAGAGCAGGAGGCACAGTTTTTCAATAGCAAGCACATTCATCACTACGTCTGCTTGACTGGTTAATGCTTTCTGACTATACATTACAGCATTCCGAGATAGACAGGGTCAACCATAATTCTCTGAGATACTACACATTTTATGAAGACAGAGGAGAATGTGATAAGAAAGACAGATAAATGGAGTGCAGTAAGGGCAGGAGAAAATATGTCATTCAGCATATAAGCTAAGATCTGTCCACAGCCACCGGCAGCACAGTAAGACAGAGCCTACAGAATCATTTCAGGCCCAAGCTTCATTTGCAATTCCCCACTTCTGACATGCAGCAGAGTGAAAATATAAAAAAAAAAACACCACAGTAAAGAAATTCACACCTCATTTCTAAATGATCCCCATGTCATTTTTTACCAATGGCTATGTTCTTTTTCCAATAGCACATGTGTCAATAAGATTTTATTAACAGTGACTCCCAAAAAAAGCATATTTCAAAGCTGTGTCTTTAAGTATTAAAACCAGCAATAGCGATTTTAGAGAGAGAAGTGGCTCTTTGTCTTCTCTTCCCAGCAGTGGTAGACTTAGAAGATTAGTCACAATCAAGCAACACTGATCAAATAAAAGATACTAAAGGAAAAGTAACCTACTAAATCCAGTTGCTACTCATTAAAAGTGTTCTAAAAGATTGATTTAATGCTGAAAAATAACTTACTCTGAAGAAAATAGCATGCAACACTCAGATTTTCCACTAACTGACCAGGGTGAAATTCCTCAGATAAACTGTTCATTACAAACTGTTCATTCACAGAGAGCCTCACACTTCACAGAAGCTGATCCATTTCTGCACATGCCTGATAAGCTTTTCTGTATCAGTTGGTATAAGCTTAGCATTTTTATCTTGATAAAACAATGAACCAAATTCATTTGGGGAAGGGGTGGGGAAGAACACGCTGCTTTTACCAAGCTTACGCATGGATACACTTTGTAGAAAAACTGCACAGCTGAGATGATAAAGAAGAACTGCAATCTGTTTGCTTATCTACCACTTTAATTCCTTGTTAAGCTGACCCAAGATGCTTTCTTTGCCCAGTCAATTTAGTGCCAAGCAAAGTCAGCAGAGTATGGTATCATCTGTGTACTGCAGGCTCACACATGGAGAAGGGCAGAATATTTTGTCCAGGGAGTCCTCAGGAAATATGAGCCTCTAACGCTTTGTTTCTCTTCCCCAAATATAAATACGTCACGGTTTTCAAAAAAACTGAAAAGGTAAATGCCTCCAAACCCGGTAGTAGAGTACAGACTGTTAATACCACTGCCTTTACAGAGCCAGTAGGAGCTGTGCTCTTAAAATATTTACTTGTCTATGGCATGAAACATTAAATTTCATCTTCACACGGTTGCTTACCTTGTCTGGAGTCCTGAGACTGGACTGGAGAATCAGTGGCATCTCCCAGCAATTGTGACAGCTTCCTTTTTTTGCCTGATGCTGCAGAAAGACTTTTTCAAAAACACACGTTGCATTACTCATTTATAAGTTTAAATACCGATATTATAGAATCATAACAAGAGAACACCCAGGTATCTCATTCTAACCGTACTGTCACCCAAATTCTGATTTCTCAGGAGGAGATTGTTGTTGGCTTTTTAAAACTGAATTACGCAATTTCTCCTTCCAAAACATGAATATTATTTCATATGAATAGACAAGTTGATCTCTTTCTAAAAATTTACACAGTGCATAAGCAGCAAGGTTTTATCATTTCCTGACATTTGCATTCAAATCACAGCTTTATCTTGAATAATTATGCTGCACGAGCGTGACCTCACTTTCCTTCTTATACAGAAAACTCTAGTAGCAGTTAAACTAATGTGTTAATGAAGAGATGTCAAGGGGCAACTGCTGGGTAACAGTTTACCCCTTTCCCAGAAAGTGAGATTTCAAAAAATGCTCCTTTGTGCAAAGTAAAAAAAAAAACCCTTATTTCAAAGATTTGGTATTATAAAATGTAAACTAGGATATCCTGACAGATGGTCACTCCTTCTGGACGGGGGGAAAAAAAAGCCAAACTCCAGGTCTCAGTCAGGCCCAGCAGGTACTCGAACTAAGGGGCAAACATGAGTAGAAGAAAAGCCTGCCCACCACGTTAATTGTTATTCTTTTTCTGAGTTTTTTCAGAAGCTCCACATTTGGTCAAGAAGTATTTTGTATCTTAAATTCCAATAACCAAAGTATTCCCTCAAAAAATACTACGATTTTGACTAACTGGCACCTTCTACTGGAAAACAAAGAAAGAAAGAACACAAATAGCTCCACTGGAAAACCAGGCCCAGCTTCCTTCACCCACTTCTAATACGTAACTGAGCTCTGTACAGAAGCGGGGACAGGGACAGACCACCTGCAAGCCCATGACTAACACTGATGAACTCACATTTCTCTCCCAACAACCAGTGAGGTCCCCCTCTGGCATGCACCAGTCAGTTCATTCTTACTAGGTATTGTGGTTGGATGATTGCACTACCCAGCATCTATTAAATAATTAAACATCCACAACATGCTGGTGGGTGAATATGGCAGATGGTATATAAATACCATTTCATTTGCTTACATAGATAGGACAATTTTTTTTTCTCTCATGCCGCTTGTTCGAACAATTACAAGATCCTTATGGACAAATCCCTGCAGTAGGTATGGCAAAACGCCTGAATATTTTTATAATCCCGTTATGAAGTACCTATTGATCTCTCTTTAGCCTTGTAACTTTTTCAAAACTGAAATCCATTCCTATTTCCAATGTGAACTTCAATCAAGATGTTTAAAGAACCAGCAGCCAGAAGTGTCTCAAAAATGTCTAAACACTGCCATCCTGTGGAAAACCCTACACAGACGGGGATTTTACACCAGTCTTAAACCACGCCTTCCACCAGCTCTACTTTTTTTTTGTATCTGTCTCATCCTTTGCACAAAAGCTTTATCATTTACCCAGAAATCTGAGATGCACTTGGCTGAAAGTATGAATAATTGAAACCCAAACAGCTGGAGGATGCAGAATGATTCCAAGGAGTCACAGCATTTTCTGTCTTCAGGCAGCAGCCCTGGGGGATGGTGCAAGGATGCCCACTGGCATCGGGGTCAGAGCAAGTCTCCATGAACCTGCAGGGAAGCTTGCTGGGTGCCACAGCAGATGGGCATGGGAGTAGAGGCTGCAGCCCACCAGGCCACGTAGTGTCATACCGTGGGGCTGCAAGAAGTAAACAGACAAGAAAGTAAGGACAAGGAAGAAGAGCTGGAGACCTTCCTACGAGCTTGGGAGAGGCTGAATTCATGTGACCTACTCTGGAGCTGTGGCGGAGAACACAGTTCCGATCCAGAGTCCGGTGGGGAGTCTGGCAACTGGCTTTGCCTAGGGATGAAAAAGATATTTTAATTTCTACTGGGAGGAGCTATGGAGGACAACCACAAGGCAATACTGAGAGCAGCTGGAGGGGGACCACAAGACTACTGATAAGGGTCTTCAGGAAGCATTGCTCACCATGGCTGCTGCTTCTTCTCACAGGAGCGACATCCCTTGCACTTCATCAGACCATCTCCTATGGCCCTCCACCTTGAAGGGAGGCCCCATCCCTCCACAGCCCGCTGACTCCAATCCTCCTTCCTTCCCATGAACGTTCAGGTAACTGAACCACTTCCTTCAGTTACCTCCGGGCACACCAGCAACTCTGACTACAGAGCTCACAAGGGCTCTAAACCCATTCTCTCTAGACTACAGGTTAAAAATCCCTAGCATCTTCATCCACTAGCTGATTTCTTAAGAACTTAGTTTGGCCAAAGCGCTCCCGGTCTCCATCAGGCGCTGGCAGGCCCCATTTTAGCCCCTTGCTCACGAGACACAGCCCAAGCCTGGGGGGGGGGGAAGCAGGGGCTGCCGCACAGGTGGGAAGCACATTTGCCCAGTTTGAAAGAAGAGCTTTTACAAGCTCACCAAAAAGATCCAGAAGCTTAACGTGGGGTTTCCACAGGTGACGAGCTACCTTCCCTCTTTGCAGTCCTACGCAGTCTTCCCGTTCTGTTCGGAAGAACATAGTAGGGGACCAGTAACTAATCTTACCACAAAAATCACAAAAAGAATCGAAGATAAAGAGTATTAACACGTCCATTTCAACAGCCTCCTCAAAGAAAAGCTTCAAAAACAAAACAAACCAAAAAAAAACCGCTCATTTCTCACAGGAGATAAGCCATTCTGTCACGCTTTAACCCAAACATCACTGCTGACCGATTATTTCTAGCACCTGTGTTTATCATCGCAGAGAATCCCGACGCATTGCTGAAATCTGAATGAAGAATATATCGTACGGGTGCGCCGGGCAGGGTTGGAGCA